TATATATATATATAACGGATACGAGACGGGACAGGAAATGTGAGAGCGGATATCATCCCCACTGCCGGTTTAAGACAAACCAGGTATCCGTCTCCGTCCCCACTCCCGAGCAAAACAGGTGGACGGGGTTCCCAACATATTAGGACCCATTTCCATGCCTACTTATATTTGTTTTCATAAAAAACTTGTATTTCACCCTTTCAATCCATTAAGCAAGTAATATTCAGCCCAATCCGTTATTTGGGCCAGACTAAAAGGCTTACCATTTTTACAAAAACAATTAAAAATATATAATATAAAGTAAAGTAAAGCACATGTTTCGAGTACAAGTTTTTAGGGGTTGTTTGTTTACCTATTAATAGTTCAATTAAGAGATAATTTCTGAATTGTTAAGAGGTGAATATTGTTTGGCAAAAAAAAAGTATGTCTCTTAATGGTTCTAAAACCCTCTGAATGATTTTGTATCATTGATCTCTCTTAACCATTAAGACCCCTAATTTCATTGTACACAATTACCAAACAATTATATTTCATTTTGCATTATATCATGAGAGCCTCTTAATCACATTCTGGCCACTTAATCATTATGCACCAAACCATTTACCAATTGTCAAATAGCCCCTTAATGGTCATCGTCATTGTTTTTGAAAACTTAATGCAACTTATATTTATTTTGTGTTTCTTTAATGAGTTATATTTTTATGGTTGCATTTTTTTAATGAGTTGGGTTTCAGTAATTGTAGTTTTGTAATGAGTTTGATATCTGAATAAATCAATGATTTGGGTTCTTGTAGTTGCATTGAGAATACAACTTGTAAAAATTATGGGTGTTCATCGATTGAAATCGAATGGATTTAGGTGGATCCGATCCTGTCCGATCCAATCATCCCATGGATGTTGGATTTTTGTCATCCGGTCTGATTCGAATAATATTGGACATCCGGTCGAATCCAAATCCAATGGATGATTGGATCGGTTCCATCAACTGGATGTTACTATTGGTTATCCATAGGATTGGATTTGTCTAATCTTTTAATCCAATATTCAGTCAATTAATCCACCATTTCAACCAATTATTTATATATTTTCTAAAGTTGTTAAAAACAATGTACATAAATATCAACTAAATAAATATCGTAAAATGTAAATAATTATATATATTTATTAATTGGATGTTAGTTAGATGATAATTGGTTGGTGATTGTTGGATGTTGGACTGCCATCGATCCGATTTGGATGTTGAAAATTTGGATTCGATTCGATCCAATTATAATTGGATATCTGATTATGGTCGGTGGGTTTAAATTAGATCGGATGACTTTCTGCATACCCCTAAAAAACAATACTATAAATAGTGTGTTTTTACACTGTATTCTTTTACTTTGACGTGATTTCATATTTGTGTCAAGAGTTGTGATAGTAGATTGTGTTTAAATGTTAATGGTTGTGAGAGTAGAAGTGTTTGGATCACTACAATTTTATAGATAATACTATAAGATTTATATATATACTATGTTTAGTCATAAAAAAAACAAAATACCAATGAAAATCGCTCACGATGTTTCATCAAATCGTCATTAATGTGTCAAATCGTTGCGTCATAAGTTGTCTTCGCTATAAGAGACGGAATAGAGGTCAAAATCGCCCTCATTGGGGCGATTTGGACAAAATGAGGGCAATTTCATATATATCAGATATAATATCTTATTTTTGTTTCCCAAATGGTATACATGTGAGACTCATCCGTACCTTATAGTCAAAATCGTTCTTTAAGAACGATTTTGACGATCATTTTATGAAGAAATCTAAAAAATAATCATTTTATTAACGTATTTTATATAAAATGATAATTTTAAATAATTTTCCTTAAAACAATACCACACGACATCTCTAGACAATATCTCAGAATCCCGTTTGATCATCAAGCCACGTATTTGTCTTCTTACTAATAGATATAAATATTAAATATTAAAAAAAATTAAATATATAAATTTATAATCCTTATAAAATATAAAAATAATAAATATGCACAAAAATCAAGTAAGTACATGATTGGGTTCAAGCGTCTGCACCCGGTGAAGCGGTGCCGGTGCAGTGGGTGGGTCGAACCCAGATCGGATCTCATGGTATATGTCTACGTGGAGATTCTTTAGGTGTCCATCTGGCAACATATTTTTTATTAAGAAAAATAATTTTAAATTTTAATAAAAGATTCTACATGATAAATTAACAATCATGCATAATAAAAAAAATATATATAATTGGATTAAAATTAGATCGAAGTCTTGTAATTCTTTTGATTGGAATGTTTGGTGTATCAGTCCTTTAGCGGCTTTGTTGTAAGTGCTAGCCTCTTGCTAGTCTTTGGTTGTTTTTAATAAATCTGTTGTTTCTAAAAAAACAAATTGCATGAAAAAATAATGTACTTTAACTTAATTCCTATTTTGAGTAAACGCACTTTCAAACTTCTATTTTGATACATAAGATATAAAGTTTTAAACATTTAAGTACTCGAATAACTAGTTGAATCATTAACCGCTTATCATGCTGACGTGACAGAATATCTGGTATCCAACTCAATATTATTTGCTGAATTGGTTAGTGATATTAATTTTTTTAATCTAAAATTAAACTTTTTTTAATCTAAAACTAGTCTTCAACCGGTTACCGGGTACTTAAATGTTTAAAATTTTACATATTAGGTACCAAAACGAAAGTTTTGAAAGTACGTTATCCAAAATATAAAACAAGTTAAAGTACGTTACTTTTTCATGCAATTTGTCCTTAAAAAATTTAGTATATATTGATTAATATATATATATACTTGTTTCACGACTTGCTTGTTTCATATGTATTCGGTTCATAAAGTGAAAATTTCTAGCTGTATTTTTTGTTTCACGAATATGTAAAATATGTTCATATTGTAAAACAATTATATGCTAATCAATAAACTAAATTCGAGCCGAAACAGTCTCAGGTAGACAGTTTCTATGGGGCGTAGAACTCCCAACAAGTAACCGCGGATTTTTGGTACATCGTATTCATTATATCGGAAAAATATTATGTTTGTAAAAGTTTTATTCGTCGAGGACTTTTATTGAAAAATAATATGGGTTTCACATATCTATACTATATTATAAAACATTTGACAAAAACTCTTAAAAAAGATTTTTTATGCACAAAGTAATGTTTATTGATGTATATTACTTAAAATTTAAGATTACAAGTAAATTGTGCGTAAGTACAACTTATTAAAGCTCCATACTTGAATTCGTCTAACTAACTGCAGATAAATACAATCAAATATTGGATAAACATTTCATTTTAAATATAAAAAATCTAAAATATAATTAGAATAACCATTGATAACTAATAGAAACTTAGTTATTATCTTTATAAAAAAGTAATTCGTATAACTAACCGCAGATAAACATAATCAAATTTAGGATAAACATCTCATTTTAAATATAAATATCAATATATATTTTTCAAATTTATTTTTATTCAAAAGTAAAAACATTATCTTTATCAAAACCACATAAACCGTATTATATATCAACAAAGACAACAGATAAAACGAAACATTAAAATAAATATGTATCTCGCTGCATTGCGCGAGTACCCATCTAGTTACTAAATAAGACCAGAGTGAAATTTTACCACATATATATATATATATATATATTGTATACGTATTCTTCATATCGTTTGGGTAAAAAATACGAAAGTCACGACTAACATAAAAAACTTACGACCAGATATATATTGCAAATAAGAACTAGCAACCAGAGATCGTAAAATAAACAGTCGTCATTTTGATGACAATCACACGGTATTCTTGACAACTAAAGATACTCGTATTCATTGGTCGTCACTAACCAATTACGATCGTATATCTCTAACGACATTTATCGCTACTAACTCTCGACAAACAACGTTTTATAATATTTAATGCAGATCTTCTCTCGGACATAACCGAAGTCAAGTATTCAAGAACATTAAAGACAAATACCATTACTAAAATCAAAGCTCGTAAAAGACGCATTTATGAAGACAACTGTTATATGAACAAAGCTGATTCCAGAGAAAAACACGAGCAACATATGGATCATACAAGCAAACTGACTCGAAACATTCTCGAAGCTTTCAACCACGTTCACGATTTCTTACTTACGATCAAATTGTAATCTTTATACTTACGACCGTTGTCACAACAAAGGACGGCGTTCCTATTTGACGTCACTAGTGCATCGACGATCTTTAGTGTCGTTCGCGTTTTTTTACCCGTGTTGGGGGTTTTCTGCGTCACCGACTTCTTTTGTAATTCATTTACTTTCTCATAATTGACGTATGTTTATCGAAAAATACAATTTTTAGTTGTTGAAACTCCATTACGACTTTAATTTATTTTTACAAAGTAATTTTTTTTAATATAAATACATAATAAAAATAGAATTTTTAACGTGTTAATAATAAAAATGGTTATAATGTTAATAACGATAATGGTAATATAAAAATCAACATTTATATCTATATCTACTAGAAAGTTTCTCGCACGATGCAGTGAGATATATCTCGATTTTAATGTTTCGTTTTTTCTTTTGTCTCAGTAGATGTTATAATACAAGTTTTATGTGGCTTTGACTTTTAAGAAAGCGATAATATTTTTATTTTGAATATAGTATAAATACGAAGATATATCATAGAAATTTAAAAAAAATGTTGATATTAGTACTAAACTAATTATTTACATTTTTTTTTTGTGTATTTCTCTAATTCATTTTTTATTTTTTAATAATATAATTTTTTATAAAGATAATAATTAAGTAGTTTGTTATAACTTAATAATTATCCTAATTATATTTTAGATTTTTTATATTTAAAATGAGATATTTATCATCTATTTGATTATGTTTATCTGCAGTTAGTTACACGAATTCAAACATGAAACTTTAATGAATTGTACTTATGCATAATCTACTTGTAATCTTGAATTTTATGTAATATGCATCATTATAAAGCATTTGACAAAAACTCTTAAAAATCATTTTTTATACATGAAGTACTGTTTATTGATGCATATTACTTAAAATTCAAGATTACAAGTAAATTGTATGTAAATACAACTTATTAAAGCTCCATTTTTAAATTCATGTAACTAAATGCGGATAAACATAATCAAATAAAAGATAAACATCTCATTTTAAAATATAATTTAATACAAAATTAGAATAATTATCGAATTCTAATAAAATGATTAATTATTATCTTTATAAAAAATTATATTATTAAACTAAATATAAATTACTCTGTTACTGAACCTAAATTAAAATTATATTAAAAAAAATTGAATAAAAAATTTACACAAAAAATGAGAAATTTTAAATAGTTAATTTGATATTAGTATGTATATATTTTTGTCAAAATTTTATAATATTTTTAAATTTATATTTTATTCAAAAATAAAAACATTGTCGTATTTTCAAAATCATATAAGACCATATTATAATATTGAGTTCGACTGAGATAAATAATAAAACAAAATACTAAAATCAAGATGTATCTTGCTGTATTGCGCGAGTATCCTTCTAGTTATATTGTAAAGTATTTAATAAAAACTCTTAAAAACCATTTTTTATGCATTAAGTACTGTTTAATGCATATTACTTAAAACTCAAGATTATAAATAAGTTGCGTTTAAATTCAAAAATTAAAGCTTCATGTTTGAATTCGTGTAACTAACTACAGATAAACTTAATCACATAGATGATAAGCATCTCATTTTAAATATAAAAGATCTAAAATATAATTAAGATTATCATTGAGTTATAACAAAATATTTAATTATTATCTTTATAAAAAATTATATTATTAAACTAAAAATAAAAAAATGAATTAAAGAAATATACAAAAAAGTGAGACATTTTAAATAGTTAGTTTGATACTAATATCAATATTCTTTTTCAAATTTTTATGATATATCTTTATATTTTATTCAAAAATAAAAACATTATCGCTTTTTCAAAAGCACATTAAACCTATTACAACATCGACTGAAACATTAAAATCAAAATGTATCTCGTTGCATTATACGAGCACCCTTCTAGTAAATCAATCAACAAATAATAGTTATTATAAAAATATTAAAATAATTTAATAAAAGGTAAAAGAATGTATTAATGACTTTACGATATAATTTTTAGTTATTAAAATAAAATTAAACAAGTAAAAATAAAAGTATTAAAAGGGGTGTTTGAGATTGCTTATAAAAACAAATTATTGACTTATTCCGATGTGGTACTGTAACAAACACTTTTGAATGTGTGGATAAACAACTTATACCGATGACAAACCGGTAATAAGAAGATTTTGAAGAAGTTAAACTCTTCTGACTTATAATAAGTTGATAAATGTTTTTGTAGAAAAGAATAAATTGTTTCAAATAAGCAATCCCAAACACCCCTAAATTGTAAATACTTACCTAATCAAATTAAATCAATTCAATAATATAATTAGAATAAAAAATAATCGAGAAATTACTCAAAATGACCCTTCTATACACAGTATGTTAATAAAATGATGATTTTTCAGAGATTTTTCACAAAATGACCACCATAGGGCGATTTTGATTATAAGATACAGATGAGTTCCACATGTATACCATTAATAAGACAAAAATCAAATATTATATTTGATATATATGAAATCGTCATCATTTTGTCCAAATCTCCCCAAGGGTGCAATTTTGACCTCTATTCCGTATTCTAGTGAAGACAAATTATGACACATCAATGACGATTTGACGAGACCTCAAAAACTATTTATATTGGTTGTACAAATAGACATGGTTGCATTTAAAATATATCCTCCATATATATATATATATATATATATATATATATATATATATATATATATATATAAACAATCTGATAAATAAAAAAGTGGTGGAGGTGATGTTTTGGGTTTGGTCTTTGGTGGATGGCCGCAGACTTCATTTAATAATTTGTTTCTGATGTCATCTTTACTACCCAATTAGGGTATGCTCAACCAAATCTCTAAAAATAGTTTTTTTTTTATTAATCTGGATATCCAATCCGCTATACGAGTTATTTAATATTAGAACAACTACCTGTTTTACGGGTAGCATAGAGTCACCGCATTTGAACCTCCGTTGCCACAAGGAGATTTTTACTCATTCTTAAATTTGAACCTTAGACCTCCAGACACTTTTGATCTTATAGTTCAAGTTCAAATAAACCAGGCACCACCGTTATGGTCACGATCAATAAAATAAAGAGAGAAACAAAGACTATTACCCTTGTGTAAACAAAAAGTCTACAACGATCAAGTGACAGAAGTTGCGAGAATTCAAGAGAAGCATATGGACCATTATGTTTATGAGCAGAAGACTCAGTTTTTTCAAGTGGTGTTCGATTGATTACATAAAATAGCGATATACATAAACCCTCTAACTGGGGTGACCATACTTAACAAGAAATGAAAATTAGCTTATTCAATAAGCTTTTAGGAAAAACTTATGTAGAAAGTCACGTTTTTTTCCAAACCCTCCGAAACAAAAACCATCCCACTTTACACCAATATATATATATATATATATATATATATAATTTTATTCATACATGACTTAATAAAAAACCATCCCGTTAAGTTATTGTGATTATTTGTGTATAGAATTTAAAAAACATGGTACTCTTATAAAAGAAAAATGGTTATTATTTAAGAATATCCGTAAGGAATCTAGCTGCCCAACTCCACCTGTTGCCTACTACTTTCCTCCTCCACACCTTCTAATCCAACCCATGTTCTTTATCTCCTCTTTTTTCTTTGTTTAATTAATCAAATTAAAATCATCAGATATATATATATAATTTATTTTATTTAAGTTAATATTCTTTGTATTTATATGATTGACGTATAGATATATGATATAAATTTTTCTTTGTATTATTCTTTAAAATAGAAAAAACTAAAGAATACTTAGAGATGACAAAAACCGATGGTGAAAACCGAAAACCAAAATTTTCTGGTCGGGTTCGGGGGACATCTAATCAGGAAGGGGTGGGGATCGAGGACATATGCGGGGATTTTAACGGGGTCGGGGATGATCATCGGTGCAGCCTGGCCCAATATGTGTGTGTGTGTGTGTATATATATGTGTATAATATCATTAAAAGACTCACGAAAAAGTTTAGTTTATTTGTTTAATCGTGAAATCATGATGTTAGTTATATGATGTTTGGATTTCTGTTTACTTTTATATTGTAATCTAAGATGTTGTTTTGTAATTGGTTTGATTATGTTTGAGATATTTAGACTTACATCTTAAAAAAATTATAATTTACTTTTAGTTATGAAAATTAACGTATTGTAATTTATTTCAGATCAGTTTGGGTTTCGGATTCATGTATAACCAACGGGAAAAGGGGAATTTTTACCCTTAGCGGGTTCCCCAACGGGGATCGCGAAAACCCCAGGTATCCCCGACGGGGATCGAGGCGATTACAGGGACGAGTTTAGTTATCAGTTTCGTGGACGAGGATACAAATAACCGGCCCGAACCCGACCCATTGTAATTCCTAAGAATACTTTAAGTTTAAAAAATTATTTAAAACTTGACGTGTGGAAAGTGATTAATTTTTCATTCATTCCACAAATGAGATTGAATCATTATTATTTTACATAAATTCTATTTAAAAAGTGTATTTGGATGATAAATTTATAGAATATTCTAATAATACAGTCGATGTTGAAATCTCTAAAATAGAGAATCTATTGAAGTTGAATGTAATTTCTTTTAGAGATTTTGACTTTTGATTCTTTATTTTAGAAAAATACATAACACTTATTGCAGATGCTCTTAAACAATAATCAACTAGAATGAAAATTAAAAAAAAAACTGTTTAGTTTCATATAAAATAACGTGTCCATTCACTTAGGATTCCAAATTTTAATTCCTGGTTAGATTTGATGAATTAAAATTAATTATCTGTCATTCCCATTTTCATTACTCATTCTGAATCAAACAACCCCTAAGTAATATAAAAAGGTAAGAAATAGATGTTTATATCTGAATATTTGGGAAAAAAACAATTGAACAAAGCTTTTTATGTTATTATAATACACATTGTGTGTGAACTTGTTGTTCGGTAACATCATGTTCAACATTATTACAAACCCGAAATAATTTAGGGGCCGTTTGCCAAACGCTTACTCGGGTAAGTGAACACCAAGTCACATTACCTTACTGAATGGATATGATAAGGACCAAGAATCTTACTCGGTAAGAGTGAAACAATGATCAAGAGTTTTACCCGGTAAGTGAGGATGATGACTCTTACCACGATAAACACTTACCGGATAAAATGTTGCATACCATACCATTTTGGTGGACTAAAATCTTACCCGGCAAGTAAATGATAGTGCTATATTTTACCCAAAAACACTTATCGAGTAAGTGTTTGTTAAACGATCATTTAATGTTTTTTTGTTATAGGAACATTTTTGAGCGTTTTCGTCCAGGACACCAAAAACTATAGAACAGGCCCTACTTAATTATTTTTGTGAGCCCAGAAATAAAAACAATTACCGGTTCGGTTTAGTTTAGTTTCTTGCTACGATAAACCGGGTTCAGGTAAAAAAAAGCCGGTACCTTTAAGAAGGAATATATAGAGTATATTCTCAATCGCATTCCCGCCCTTTTCCAGAAACCGAGTTCCTTTTTTAAACTGTACTCCTTATCAACCGCATCAATCACGTGGCGTCAAATGGACGGTGGAGATTTATCCCCCAAAAACCCGATTCCTGCACACCACAGACGATTTCATATTATCGTAATATTTTCATATTCTCGTAATATTCCTTTGGCATCTTCAATTTCCCACCTTATAAATACCCTCCTCGTACTCTTTGCCTTCCAACACCATCTCCAACAACAACGTTTTCCCTCCGACCACCGAATTCTCCCGCCGCCGGCAGCCATGTCAGGAATCGTCGTGATTTTCGATTTCGACAAGACGATAATTGACATAGACAGCGATAATTGGGTTGTGGATGAGTTAGGTGCTACTGATCTGTTCAACCAGCTTCTCCCGACCATGCCTTGGAACTCTCTCATGGTACTGTGTTTTTTATTCTCAGATCCGCCATGGATTTTTCGTTTTTTAGGTTTTTTTAGCACGAATTAAGAATGTCGGAAGTTTTACTTACGAACTTTGTCGTTTATTTGAGGAATAACAGGACAGGATGATGGAGGAATTGCATTTACAAGGTACGACAATGGCCGATATCGAACAAGTACTAAATCGTGTCCCTATACATCCTCGGATTGTTCCCGCCGTTAAAGCTGCGTATGCTTTAGGGTAACTGATTTAACTTTCTCGTTATCATGGATCCTTGATCGATGTTTTGTACGAGGTTTAAGTACTTACTGGATTTTGTACGAATTGTTTGAATTCAGATGCGATCTGCGAGTAGTAAGCGATGCGAATGTGTTCTACATAGAAACTATATTGAAACACCTTGGGATACGAGAATGTTTCTCGGAGATCAACACTAATCCAGGTTTTGTGGACGACAATGGCAAGTTAAGGATCTTGCCGTACCATGATTTCCATAAATCCCACCATGGTTGCAACCTCTGTCCTCCCAACATGTGCAAGGTAATTATTTATTCGATTATGATGTGGTGAGTGATTGGTATTATTTGCTGTCGTAGTTAGTGACATATATTTTTCTTAATCTAAAATTAGTATTCTTTTTTAATCTAAAATTAGTTTTCAACTGATTATCTAAGTACTTCAATGTATAAAACTTTATATTTTATGTATCAAAACGGAAGTTTTGAAAGTATGTTACTTAAAATAAAAGTCAAAGTACATTATGCAATTTGCCTTAAAACAAACTATCTATTTATCCAACTTTCCAATTTCGTAATAGGTCCCCGGAGTTAACTGATTGGTGTTAACTCCAGGAAACTTGAGTCTGAGTTTTATGAAATTGAAACAGTTAGGAACATCAGTGTAAATAGTTTGTTTTTAAAGACTAAATCCGAAATTTACGCGAACCACGACGACCATAATGTAATTCACTCTTCGATTTAAATACAAATGAATATTTTCATGATGTGAACATCCACGAGCGATGTAATTCCTTATTTTTTTCTAATTATTATTTTTCTTAATCAGGGTAAAGTAATCGAACGAATTCAAGCCTCGTTAGAAGGAAACAAACGGATCGTGTATTTGGGCGATGGCGCCGGCGACTTTTGCCCGAGTTTGAAGCTTCTAGAAGGAGATTACATGATGCCGAGAAAAGATTTTCCGGTTTGGGAATTGATATGCAAAACCCGACATATGGTTAAGGCGGACGTCCGTGAATGGACAGATGGGGAAGACTTGGAACGAGTCCTCCTCACCATAATCGCCATGGAAGACACGAAGAACAACGTTGATAACACGAATCAATTGTTTGATTGCAAATTCGAGACGATCGCTCTAGAAGCGTTGCCTAAACCGCTTTACGTTCCTCACTGATCGATGATAACTCGTATATTTCCACTCTATTCTAAGTTTATCAATTTAAACTGTAGTTAGAGGTGTTTGGTTAGAGGTAAACGGTGGGATTGATTATAAAAAAAAACTGTTTGATTTTATATAATACAATTATCCATTTTCCCACTAAATTTTTATTCCAGGTTAAACTGAGGGAATGAAAAAATGTATTCCCTGCCATTTTCATTTTCATTCCGAGCGATTGTATCTTGTTAATATGTTATCATCATCATTTACGCGTAGACAGTTCTGCTCCAAATCTGTTGAGTTGGATCGGATTTGAGTTTGATTTAATAATACACTATAATAAAATTGAGTTTATAGTACAACATCAATTTGTAAGTGTCTTAATAGACTTTTTTATAAAACTTGATTTACAGAGTCAAACAAAATATTATATCTAAAATCGTTGTAATAAGTTAATAAGATGCTTTTGAACGTTTTAACAAATTTTTTAGTACAATTATATCACAAAACGTTTCATTAACAGTTTTATATGACACTTTTAAAAAAATGTCCTATAATATTATATAGAATTGTTAATACGACACTTTATATTAAAAGTGTGTTAAAGAACTTGTTAAGACATCTAAAAGTGTCATATAAACTTATTATAACGCATTTAGATAGTATGTTTTTTGTCTTATAAATTAATTCTTATAAAACGGTTTATTACGACGCTTATTTTTTTGACTTCTTATAAACACGATTTTGTTATAGTGTTAGTCTGCCTCTAGCGTGTAACTCGGTTGGCAAAAGAGTGGGGTGAATTTGTCCAAATACAAAATAGATCTCGTTCGATACTTAACACCCTCACATCGGTGTTCTTGGACAGTGAGGTCTGAATAATCAAATTTCCCCCCAAAGAACAGCGTTAGCCCAGTCTAGATAATTTGATAAGAAGGGTTCGAATCTGTACACCAGGATCGAAAAGCTCGATAAAAATGTCTGGTTATTTAGACATGAACTTTTGAATTCAGTAAAGTTCAATCAGATATAAAGATGAACATAGTATGATATCAATTTTTTTCCCTTTATAGCATGCACCAACCAAACTGATATAACTGGTTTGAAAATTCTATATCAGGTATCAGTTTTAATTTTGTTTTGTACTAACTTAACTAGCAACATGTTGTTATTGTTTGTACCAACATTGTCAACATGTAAATTTGAATGCGTAAAAGAGGGTCTAACCCTGAGCCATCCAAGCTTATTTCCCGTGAACAATAAACTTTGGGATTGAAAAAGGGTTCAATCGGGTTTTTTTAGCCTTTTCAACCTTTTCAGGCCAAGCTTAGGCCCGGACCTACGACCAATATTTTAACACCATTGGGCTTTGAGGCTTGACATGGGCCGAGCTTCAGGGTCACTAGACCTGAACTTTCTCGAGTTGGGCTCGCTGGGGCCTCGGTCGAGTTTCGGGCATAGCCTTTTTGTAAATCTCTATGTGAAAGCAAGCAAAAATTAAATTAATACCCCAAAAAAAAATCCATACTTAAAATGTTCAATATTTGCATACAAATACCAAAAGATATAGCAAAACCGTTAGTTAAATATTAATTAATTAATTAAATATTCAGATACAGGGTTTACGGTGTTCAATACCCTTGAATTTAACTGGGTTAACAGAATTTCATTGATTTTGTCAGAAGAAGGTACTCAATAGGTGCAAAAACGCGTACCAGAGGTACCATTCTTGTATTTATTTTGATTTTAGGACCACTATGAATAGAAAATGTAAACCACATAGACCACATGCATAATTTACTTTTAAGGTTATGATATTTCTCGAATAAAACGTGTATTTAGTTTTTCAAAAATAAAAAGAATATAATATTTTTTTTGACGTGAAAAATATCTTAAAATGCAAATACCACCTTCATTCACAAATTGTATTATGACATAAAAGTAAATCAAAATGAATTTTAATTTAATAAATTGGAAGAAAAAAAATCATACATTCTTCTTATTTTAAAATATTAAAAAAAATAAAAAAATTGAATTTCTATTTTAAGTGTTTAAAATGAATTAAAATTTGTGAAAATCACGTTGTTCAAGAAATCTGTTAAGGATCAGTACAAGCTTGACCCGAGATTTATAAAACCAGATTACGTAATTTTTTTCGTTGGAACAGGTTTGGACGACTGAACCCGATAAATCTTAGGGAGCGTTTGGTTCGTAGAATGGAATTCGAATTGGATATCATCAAATGAATTTGACTTTGAGGGAATGAAATGGAATTTGATGGTATTTGACCATGTCTTTTAATTGTGTTTGGTTGTATGGAATTGTAATGAAATTCTTAATCGAATTGGAATTTTTTTGTTTCGTTCACGAAATTCAACAAGAAAATTACAGGCAAAAAAAACTGAAACGGAAACTTTCGGGCTGGGTTCGGGGACATCTTATCGGGGACGGGGCGGGGATCGGGGACAAATTCGGGGATTTTAACGGGGACGGGGGCGGGGACGGTGATCATCGACCCGGCCCGGCTTGATATGTGTATATATATATTAATTTCAATATATATAATATTAAATTCGGGGATTTTAACGGAGATTTTAACGGGGATCGGGGAAACCGCGGGACCCGATAAGATCCCGACGGTGATCAGGACGGTCATGGGGACGGTTTTAGTTATCGGTTTCTGGGACAGGGATACCAATAACCGGCCCGAACCTGGTCCGTTGTCATTTTTAGTTTTAAACGAGATCGAACATAGCAGAACAGAGCAAATCGAGATACAGTGTCGATGAATGGATGAGGGCTAAGAAATTTGTCGAATTGGAATTTGAAATCCGTGGTATATGCAGTGGAATTGTGAAATCAATGAATTAAGGAATTGGATGGAATTGGATGGAATTGGTTGAAATTGGAAGGATTCCTTCACATCTATTATGTGAACCAAACATGGGATTTGGAATTTGGTCAAAGATTTGGACATTCCAATTCCTTCCAATTCCACCAAATTCCATGAACCAAACACCCCCTTATTCTTATACCAGCGTCGTGTAAGTGTGTAACGAATAAAAATGAGGGGTATATTATAAGATACGAATTCGAAAACGAGACTTTTTAACGTTCACTTTAATTCTTGCCTGCTATAGAATATTATACTTGTCGGGTTTTTTTTTATTAACCTGGATATCCAACTCGCTATGCGAGCCGACTAATCCCAAGGCAAACACATGCTTTGCCCATATCGGGCTGGACCGGGCCGGTGATCACCGTCCCCATTAAAATCCCCAATCCCCGCCCTGTCGGTTTTCAAAATCGGTTTCGATTTTTTTGCCATCCCTATGCATTTCACACAATTTACGTTAAAAATGGTATAAAATGAAAGTACAGAAGAATATTAAAATATTTGTAAAAAAAACAAAATAAATGCCATAAACAATGGAATTTGAGCCAAACACAAAAAACGTGCTCGTGCGTTGGTCATGCACTGAATCAAAAGTTATGCCTCTTTGAAATTCATGTGATTGTCATATTCCCATTATCTAACGAATATTATGTGCAAGTTGTTTAATTGTAACTAAGATTTACAGGGATTAACATCCCGTCCCCAGTTAAAACCTAGTCAGATCCCAGTCAACCCCGGTCCCTGACTCAAGACCCGTTCATCGACCCGGTCCAATCCCATGTTTCCTAACACAAATATTCTTGAAGTCCAACAGCAACAAAGACTCACTATCAGAATTTCCAAAGCCCAAATACTTGTTAAATGAATATTAGTATATCGGGTACGGGGTGGGTCGGGAGGTACAATACCCGTCCCCAACCCCGGTTTGAGTCTACCGGAGATCCCGGGTCCCGGGACCCGTTTTAGTGAAAAAACCCTGTTCCCGTTCGAGTCTGGTGAGTCGGGTTCCTCATCGGATCGGAGCAAGTCACCACCCTTGCGTTCTTGGCCTTTGTGTTTCTGCTTTTTACCATTGATTTTTATCATTTCATGTTATTTTTTTCTGTAAAAAAAATTGTGGCCCAAGAATTCAAATACTCATGTTCATCAAAATTAAACAAACTATTTAAAAGTCATAAAATTATTTGAAAGGTTTACAACTTTTTAAATTAATTTATTAGGGGTTGTTTGCTTACTTTTTAATAGTTCCATTAAAATGCAACATCTGTATCGTTAAGAGCCGATTAATCTAGGACCACCATCTGCTTTGCGAGTAGCTCAGAGTCACCGCATTTGAACCTTAGTGGTCACTAGAGGATTTTTATTCCTAATTGGATTTGAACATGGGATATCCAGACGCTTTTGATCTTTAGAAGCCAAGTTCAAACCAATCAGACATCATCCTTGTGGTTATCCTAATTTCTAAAAAAACATTTATTTGAAAAGGTAAATTGCATGAAAAAACAACGTACTATGACTTGATTCTTATTTTGGGTAACGTACTTTCAAAACTTACATTTTGGTACCTAAGATGTAAAGTTTTAAACATTTAAGTAAGCAGATAACCGGTTGAAGCATTAACTTGTTACCATGCTGATGTGGCGAGTGAAGTGGTATTCAGTTAATATTTCAGCAAATAATACTGAGTTGGAAACCACATCACTATGGTAACCGGTTAATGCTTCAATAAGTTATTTAGGTACTTAAATGTTTAAACTTTATATCTATTAGAATGTTTATTTTAAAAGTGTAAGTAAAAAGTTTCTTGCTCTAGTAAAGGGAGTTTAGTCTAGAAAACTGCCTGGAACCAAGAGCTCGGATACATAGATGATATCCGGATACAGAGCTCGTCGCTAAGAGAAAAGAACATCGAAGACTGCACGTCAGAAAGCTAAGGATTCGATACAGAGCCCGACTCAAGACATAGAGCCTCCAGGTCTCCTACTCTTTCTTGCGTGTGAAGGTTCCACAACACGTCTTGCAAGTGTTTCCGTCTCACGTCAACACGTTTTCCAAAGAAGGTTATTCTAACCAGACACATGGAGGCAGATGATTGGTGGAGGCATTGACTTCTCCTATTTCCCGAATTATGAAACATTCATTTTCTGGAAACGTCTATAGAGGGGAAATTCTCTAAGGATATCATTTACCAATCTTGAAAAGAAGATGACGCACTCCTTCCCAGTTTATAGAGATATTTTAGCACTTGTGAGAAATTTAGCTGGTTGAGATACATTTTGTACACAAACTTTTGCGTGTTCTTGGTGTTCTCGACATATTCTCATTAGCAAATTCAAATACAGCCAACTTGTTCAACACTTCAAAGACTTCTACGTCTTGTTCATTTCTGCTTGACCTACTAGTTTCATAGTACTGCTTCCGCTCACGTGTTGAGTTAATCTGTAATTACCAGTGCATTAAATGATCCTACAATATCTTAGGTACAAAAATAGAAGTTTTCAAAATACGTTACCAAAATAAGAATCAAATTAAAGTACGTTACTTTTTCATACAATTTACCTTATTTGAAAACAGACTAAAATAGTAACGTGAGGAGCGATAAAATGTAAACCATCCAATTTGTACAAACCGTGCAAACCACCCTCATCCATAGATTTCATTGTTTAATCTTATGAAATTTTTTCATGAAATTGTTTAATTTTGTGAAATTGTTTCATATAATTTTTTTTGATGAAGTTGTTTCATGTATGGTTATGAAATTTTAATGAAACTGTTTCATGTATTTTCTTAAAATTAAAATAATGAATATGATAATATCTATGATTAACACCATCCACAATAAAAATGATTAATCAACCTCTTATAATTACAAACAAATAAACAAAATAAAAAATTATGATTGGTTGAATGATGTTTGCACAGTTTATACAAATTAGATGGTTTGCATTTGATCGTTCTTCATAGTAACGTAACAGTTATATTTCGAAACTGAAAACGTAAGGTTCGTAACGGTCGTAGTCGGAAATTTATGGCCACCAACGTTGTACGCCGCCAGAAGTAACGGCCTTTAATACACAAACTTATGCGTGTTCTTGGTGTTCTTGACATATTCTCATCAGCAAATTCAAACACACCCGACTTGTTCAACACTTCAAAGACTTCTGCGTCTTGTTCATTTCTGCTTAACCTACTAGTTTCATAGCATTGCTTCCGCTCACCTGTTGACTTAAGCTGTAATTACCAGTGCATTAAATGATCTGGGTTCCTACAATATCTTAGGTACAAAAATAGAAGCTTTCAAAGTACGCTACTCAAAATAAGAAAATCAAATTAAAGTACGTTATTTTTTTATACAATTTACTTTGTTTGAAAACTGACTAAAATAGTAACGTGAGGAGCGATAAAATGCAAACCATCCAATTTGTACAAACTGTGCAAACCACCTTCATCCATCGATTTCATTGTTTAATCTTATGAAATTTTTCATGAAATTGTTTAATCTTGTGAAATTGTTCATATAATACTTTTTTTGATGAAGTTATTTCATATATGGTTATGAAATTGTTTCATGTAATACTTAATGAAATTTTAATGAAACTGTTTCATGTATTTCCTTAAAATTAAAATAATGAAAATGATAATATCTATGATTAACACCATCCACAATAAAAATGATTAATCAACCTCTCATAATTACAAACAAATGAACAAAATGAAAAATTATGATTGGTTAAATGAGGTTTGCACAGTTTATACAAATTAGGTGGTTTGCATTTGATCGCTCCTCATAGTAACGTAACAGTTATATTTCGAAACGAAAAACGTAAGGTCCGTAACGGTCGTAGTCGAAAATTTATGGCCACCGACGTTGTACGCCGCCAGAAGTAACGGCCTTCACTAGAATCTTTGTGGTTGGTATCCACCTAATCCACATCATTACAATTCTATTCCTTTTTTAAACGGATATTCTTCGATATATTCCCCTTTTTTCTGAAATTAGTATTTTTATTCCGTTTAAATGTAGAAAATGTAACCCCCGTTGGATCACTTTTCAATCGTCACGTGATCAGGACCGACGGTTAGGATTCAAACCCCACAATTAATATTCCATTGGCATCTTAATTACTATGTCCTTTTTGCCTTCCTATAAATACTTTCACTTGTAACATGTTTTTTTCTATAACAAAAACCGAAGTATTTGTTTCTCGTATATTTCGATACAAAATGTCGGGAATCGTGGTGATTTTTGATTTCGATAAGACGATTATCGATATCGATAGTGATAACTGGGTTGTCGATGAACTAGGTGCAACTGATTTGTTCAACCAACTTCTTGCCACCATGCCTTGGAACTCCGTTATGGTACTTTGATTTGTTTTTGTCTCAAGATATGTATTTATTTTCTTATATATAAACCAGTCTGTTTTCATGAGATTCGTGATATCACTTTTTAACACTTGAAATTTCACTGCAAAACACTGGGAATGTGAGTATGAATATTTTTTTTTGATGTTATTTAAGGTTTTGATTATGGGCCTCTATCTACATACAGGACAAGATGATGATGGAACTACATTTGAGAGGAAAGAGCGTCGAGAATATCGAGGAAGTATTGAAACGTATCCCGATACATCCTCGGGTTGTTCCAACCATTAAAGCCGTGCATGCTTTAGGGTAATTCGAGTTTCCCCTCCTTTTTGTATGTATATTTTATGTGAAATTACATAACAAGCCTTTTTTCTCTCAGATGTGATTTGAGGGTATTAAGCGATGCGAATTTATTCTACATAGAGACGATATTGAAGCATCTCGGGATCCGAGATTGTTTCTCTGAGATTAATACGAACCCAGGATTCGTCAACGAGGAAGGCACGTTACGAATCGAGCCGTTCCATGATTTCCACACCTTCTCTCATGGTTGCACCCTTTGCCCTCCCAACATGTGCAAGGTGAATACTGTTTCAAATTTAACTGTCTTTCTTATGAGTTTTTGTTTACCTCTTAAGAGTTTCATTAAGAGACAAAGACTGAATCGTTGATAGATGAATCTTGTTTGACCAAAGAAGTCTAATTCTTAATGGTTCTAAAATCCTCTGAATCATTTTGTATCATGGGTCTCCCTTAATCATTCAGCGCCCTAATTTCGTTGTAAATAATTACCAAATAATTATATTTCATTTTGTACTATATCATTAGAGCCTCTTAATCATTCCACATCAAACTATTCAGTAACTGACAAACAGCCCCTTACTTTAAATTTAAATGCTAATACAGGTATATTTTAGCACACACTTGATTTTTATATTTTATGTATGCTTAAATATTTTTCGAAATTATTTTTTACAGGGTAAAATAATAGAAAGAATTCAAGCCACGTTAGAGGAAGAAGGAAAGAAAACAATCATATATTTGGGAGATGGGGCCGGAGATTTCTGTCCGAGCCTAAAGCTTGTAGAAACAGATTATATGATGCCCAGAAAAGATTTTCCTGTATGGGATCTGATATGCAAAAACCGTCACCTTCTTAAAGCTGAGGTCCATGAATGGACTGATGGGGAAGACCTCGAGCGAGTCCTCCTCCAACTCATCACAACAGTAGTCTCGATGGAAGATATGAAAAACAACATCGACAACGAAAATCAGTTGTTTGATTGCAAGTTTGAGAAAATTGCTCATGAAACGCTGTCCAAACCTCTTTATGTTCCTTAGTTATCGCTGTATACCGTATGATGTCCAAAAATCTTGGATACATTTAAAATAATACTTTTTGTTTTATGGAATTTTATATTTCTGGGTTTGTCATGTGCTTATTAAAGAGTCGTATTTAACATAAACTTATCAAACCTTTCGTAATAGAATGGTTTGTTTGAAACTGTAGTATTTCGACATATCTAAAATTGATGATTCATGTTTCAGACAAAAGATAACATTTAGACCGAGCCTGTTTACCAAACTTTTACTTGACGTAAGCGTTTGCCAAGTTAGATTACCTTACCGGATGAATATGGTAAAGACCAAAAATCTTACCCAGTAAGAGGTGGGTAAGGATCGAGAGTCTTACTCGGTAAGTGAGGGCAATGATTCTTACCATGATTAGCACTTATCGGTAAATTGTTGCATCCACTGTTTTCTTAACCTAGAAAAGCTGCCTAATATCGGGTATGCACGTTTAAAAAAAAATAAGTTCAATCGTTCCCAAAACCTTACGCCATCCAAACCCCTTGCACCCAACGACATCACTCCCCCTCATGTCCCCATCATTGTTTGCTCTCTATCACTGCCCATCATCGCCGTTAACCCCTTCCATCGATTTCCTCCTTTTTTTTCGTTGGTTTCTTTTTTGTTTTTCGATTATCCGTCCTTTTAGATCTTTCCATACATACTCCATTAAATTGTTGAAACAGAGAGAGAATTGAAAAAGAAAAAAATAGATCAAAAAGAGGGAGATTGATGGCATGGGCCAACGACGATGATGGGCGATACAAAAAGCATACAACGATTAAAGAGGAGAAAACTTCAATATAAAATCCAAGAAGTATTTGGGAGATGGGGTAAGTATGAGTGTTCATGGGTTGGGTTGATCGGGTTAAAGACATTTGAACAATTCAATCCAATGTTTGCGGTTTGAAAATTTTTAACACAACCCAACCCAAACCAAACTAAAATGCAACCCAACCCAACCCAAATTGTACGGGTTGGTCAGGTTGATACTTTGGTACATTAAAATATTTTTATAACTTTGAATATGTTATTTCTTCACTCATAATTTATTTTTCATCATCAACCATTTGATACAACTTATCCATACTTTTTAAATCTTATGTATATCAGATTCAATTAATTTTTTCAATTACTGAATATATATAGGAGTGAGTTATATAGAGATGGAGAATAGATTAAAAATATGTGTATATGAAGAGAGTACATAATAGTGTAATTGTCTGATGCACATATATTAATGGAAACTCAACAATCGTATTAAATTCAAGAAATACAATGATATCGGATTCATCGGGTTGAGTTGTGTTCAAATAATAGTAACTCTATTTCAATCCAATATCTACAGTTTGAAAATTTTACAACTCAATTAGACATTGAGTTGCTTTGGGTTAAGTTATTTCATGTTGGGTTGGATTGAATTGATCAAATTGATCAGGTTTTTAAGTACCCCTAGAAACCAGTTCTTTATTATTTTTATTTTCGTCATGTTATTAAAATGATGTGTCACTTACATCAATTAATTGAAGCCAATGAAGCAAATAAAAGTAAGAGATTAACCGGTTTAAAAAGCAACAGATTATCCATTGCTATAATGATAAATTTTTTAAAGTACGATACCTTAATAAAAAATAATTTAAATATATATTACTATAATAAAAAAAATAAAAATAAAATACTATAATAAATAAATTTATGAAAACAGATTACTGTTTCATGCATTTAACCTTTTACATAAACTCATGATAATAATAAATTCAATTAAAAAAAATTGGCAAATAAAGAACCAAATAAAACCAAAACAAAATTAGTTGTACTTTGATTCAAGTATGCAGCTCGAGTACGTAGACTCAAACTCAGCTCGGGTCGGCTCGGCTCCGATTTAGAGTCGGTTTCGCAGCCAGAGTTGATGATTCCGGTGAACTTTAGCCACCAATAATCAAAACCCTAATCACAATTATACCAACACTAATCCTTCATTACACTTAAAATCAAAACCCTAATCACAATCTTCCTCCTCAAATCACATAGATGAACGTATGATCCATGGTTTCTCCAGGTACATCTTCGTGCACCTTCGGCTTCTCTTCTCCACCAACCAATCTCGCCGGATTTCCCACCGCCGTCGTCCGCGGCGGAACATCAATCATCACCAACGACCCCGCCCCAATCTTCGCCCCTTCCCCAATCTTCACATTCCCCAACACCGTCGCACCGGCACCGATCAAAACTCCATCTCCAATCTTCGGATGCCGATCTCCGCCGACCTTACCGGTGCCGCCTAACGTCACGTGATGCAAAATCGAAACATTATTCCCAACCACAGCCGTCTCCCCAATCACCACTCCGGTAGCGTGATCCAACAGAATTCCTTTCCCGACCCTAGCGGCAGGATGAATATCCACCGAGAAAACATCCGCTACACGCGAGTGCAACGCAAGTGCTATAGGCTTCCGATTCAAAGCCCAAAGGCGATGAGCGACGCGATGTGCTTGGATCGCTAAGAAGCCTTTGTAGTTTAGGAGACAGTGAGCGAAGGAGATGCAGGCAGGGTCGCGTTGACGGGCGGCTCGTAGATCGGCGACGGTGGCGGAGAGGAGGGAGGAGTCGGAGGAGAAGGTGTTGAGGAAGAGGTCGTAGAGGAGAGTAGAGAGGAGAGTGGAGGAGCAGAGTTTGTTACCTAAATGGAAAGAGAGAGATCGAGTGAGAGATGAGTGAGAGATGATGGTGGAGTAGAGATAACTGGCGAGAGCTGGTTCAGATTCTGCATCGCGGCGGGCGGCGGCTTTGATTTCGTTCCAGACCCAATCGCCTTCGGTTTCTCCGGCGGTAGCGCCACCATTGGCGGTGGTTTGCGGAGATGATGACATCGTCGAAATCGATGCGGCGTGGGGTGGGTTAGGAAGTGGGTGGGTGGGTGGGTGGGCGTGGCCTAAATTAGATGGGAGTTGCGGAAAAAAATATAGGCCACAAATCCAGTATTGTATTTCTTTTACTAAAGTGCCATTTATTACACACACATATATATAGATATATATACAATATATATATAGATATATAGGGTTTATTTCAAATACAACCTATCGCATTTGTACAACCAATGCAACCCAATAATTTAAATATTTATGGAAAATGAATATGATTCATTAATTATGATCAATACTTTATATTAGGAAACAATCAAAACTTCTATGAAATTACATATTCATCAAATTAAATGGACGGTTGAGATTGGGTTGTATTGGTTGTACAAATGGTAGAGGTTGTATAATAACACACCTCTAGATATATATACAATATATATATATATATATATATATACAATATATATATATATATATATATATACAATATATATATATATATACAATATATATATATATATATATATATATATATAGGTGTAGGTTCAAACGAAACACATTCATTTTATGAGAACGAGAGAACACTCTTATTACATGTGATAATATGCGTGAGGGGACCCAGTGATGTGCGGACGACTTGTTTTATGACTTAGTCTGCGCCAAAGGTGGTATGCGTCTATGATTTAGCATCACAAGTGATGGTCTTGATGGATCATAGTACCATATCAACAACACCCTTATCACATTTGAGGGGGCTTAGTGGTGTAAGGACGACTTGGCCCTCAACCAATATCACATCGAAAATCGTCCGCGTCTCTGATTTAGTATCATATGTGTATCATATCTGATGAAATAATAGTATCACATGTGATTGTCTATAATAAAAGGGTGTTCTTGTGTTCTCGTAAAATGAAGGTGTTCCCGTTTGAACCATTCCATATATATATATAAGGATTGATTTTTAGAAAGATAAAAAAAAAAGAAATCTTTACGCAGAAGCCTTAGGCATATGCGTAAGGATTCAGAAAGCTTACGCATATGCATAAGGATTCATTTTCTTTTTGCTGAAAACCAATCCTAACGTGTATGCGTAAGCCTTCTGCTTAAGCATTGCATAAAAAGTGAATTTGGTTAGAAAATGATTAAGAAGCGAAACCACCTATTAGTTTTGGCCATTTATGTAAATTTTCCATTCATCAACGTTCCTATTTACTGGGGACTTGGTACTGTACTAAGATTTTTTTCTCCATTACCGTGTACTCACAAATTACAATTGGTACATAAAATTTTTACATTGTGTTCTCGAATTTAAGGAGAATAAAATAAAAGAATGGAAGAAAAAAATAAGGGAGAGATTATTTTTTATTTGTGTTTTCAAAAGGGAAGAAAAGGAAAAGAAATGAAATGAATTTTCACATTCTTAAACATGAGAGAAAGGAAAGAAAATATGTCATTTTTATTAGGGTAAATTGCATGAAAAAGTAACGTAATTTAACTTGATTCATATTTTAGGTAACGTACTTTCAGAACTTCCACTTTGGTACCTAAAAAAATATAGATTTTCTTTTCCGATATTAGTATAGATTTGTTGGTTGGTTCCTTGCCGTTCCATAGAAAAAACTCATGTTCAAGTCTGACCTATATATATTCTTACAAACACGAGAGGTTTATAAAAAACGACAAAATTGTCAACTATGGACTCGAACCTGGGCCTTTCGACTTTTGTGCACCGACAGTAGCATTTACCATCTTAGCCATTAAAATATGGTGTTAACATTTCAGTTTCAAAAATGATATCGTGGCACCTAACAAAACAATATGATGGCACCCTTTAGAAACGTAAATTTTTCTCTTACGACAGAACCATGAAGCAGTCGTATCATTCGATGTGGGTCCACCCCTGTATAAGTACATATATGTATAAATGTTTGGGTTTACATGAAAAATACTCATTTATGTGAGAAGTGTAAGAAATGTAAACTTTTACTTAATATAGTGTTAACTTTTTGTGAAACCTATGAATATAACTTTACATTTTATGAAGGCATGTGAAGGTTACCGTTTTTGCGGTGACTTTTCAATAGGATAAAATATAGCAAAACATTCACACAATATAACGGTACCTTCACTATTTCTCACGAGAATGAAAATTTCTTATGTGATCCCACATGTGTGTGTGTATATATAACAAATAATGACAATATGTTATTGGGTTGGGTTCACATTAGACCAACATGTTTTCGTGAGACCACAAAATAACACTGAACCTTCACAGCAAAACATTGTGAAAGTACAAAAAACACCGAACCTCCATAGCAAAAACTTTGTGAAGGTTTTACCTTCATAGTGCTTTGCTATGAAGGTTCAGTGTTATTTTCGTGTTAAAAATCTTTGCAACTTGGAGCAGAGTTACCCCTGCAACTGGACCAATACTCCATAACAAGCTCGGAGAAATAAGAATCCCTCTTCATTAGCTTGGAGGGCTCATCGTATTCCATCATTTCACCTATGCACATAATAAACCCGGTTAGAATTGGACTAGGATCAGAGGCCGACCTAGAAATTTTTTCAAGTTGTGGCACTATTTGACTATAAGAAACAAATATATAAATTTTTTTTCACAAAATCATCATTGATTAGTCTATTGTTTTTCATGTGAGGTCATGTGTTCAAGTCTTTTATTGCAGTTTTTTTTTTTCATAAACTTAATAAATCTGAATTTTTTATTTTATTTTATGAAGTACTTCCTCAGCATTGAAGTTACACATGGAGCAGAAAGGAACTTCATCTATCAAAGGAAGTACAATGTCAGAGTACTTGTTTGTTTGGTTTTTTATTAAGTCTTATATGGATAAAGTTGTCTATGTTGATTAATCTATCTATATAGATTGAGAAGATTTTTGTTTGGAAGAGGTTTTTCATAGATGGATAGAGCGTGTTCTTTAACTGGGAGGGGCAAGTTTGGAAAAGACTTGACTTTATGCATAAAGCTTTTCCCTAGAAGCTTACTGAATAAGTCACTTTCTATATCATTAAGCCACTACCAAACAGTCATGTATAGCTGACCGAATAAGCTGCGAGTCCCATTAAGCTCATCAAGTTGCTAACAGGCACACCTTTAGCGTAACACCAGAGAACAATGATGACAAAACCCCTTCAAGTTGGAGCATTCATGAAATTCAAATATTAGTTGGGAATCAGAAGATTGAAGTTTAAACTAACTTGGTTCCATAATAAGCTTATGGGAGGGAATGTTAGGATTTACCGCAGGTTTACCAGGTCTTAATCCTTTAGTTTACTTGGTAAACCATTGGTTAAGAGGATACCTAGTCTCGAGGGTTGTCGAGACGATTTAGGCATATGATTAGGGATGGCAACGGGGCGGGGTTTGCAATCCCCGGCCCCGGCCCCGGTTTATATAAATAGTCCCCGGCCCCGGCCCCGGCCCCGGCCCCGGTCAACTTTCGGTCAACCCCGGTCAACCCCCGGTCAACCTCCGGTCAACCCCCGGTCAACCCCCGGTCAACACCCGGTCAACACCCGGTCAATTTAAAATTAATAAGTTTTTTCTAAGCATGATCAACATAACAACATAATTAGTTAATTACATCATATCTAGTCTTACCTAATAAAAATAATAAAATTGTAAAATTAACAATAATCCAATAAAATTGTAAAAGCCCAAGTCCATAATAAATCTAAGCCCAATTATATATATCACWTATAAGCCCAAATAATAAAAATGTTTAATATTTATATATATACCGGGTACGGGGCGGGTCGGGGGATACAATACCCGGCCCCGGCCCCGTCCCCGGTTTGCCTCTACCGGGGATCCCCGGCCCCGGCCCCGGTACCCGTTTTAGCGGGGAATCCCCGTCCCCGTCCGGGTCGGGTGAACCGGGTTCCCCACCGGGTCGGGCCAAATCACCATCCCTACATATGATATTGGGGTTGTTTGGTTAGTTTTCCATTAAGTTTTGTATGGATAAAGATGTATGTGTAGATTAATATGTATGTAGAGATTGAGAAGATTTTTGTTTGTGAGGGTTTTTTATAGATGGAACAATCGTGTTATTTTATTGGGAGAAATAGGTTTGGAAAAAACATGACTTTCTGCATAAGGTCTCCCATAGAAGCTTATTGAATGAGCCACTTTCTATATGTCATTAAGCCACTACCAAACAGTCATGTATAGCTTACCCAATAAGTTGCGAGTCCTATTAAGCTGCTAACAAACAAACCCTTTATCCTTTAGTTTACTTGGTAAATCATTGGTTAATAGATGGAAGGAGAGTGTTTTCGTATAGGTTACTCAATCACTCACTTTCTATATCATTAACCCACTACCAAATAGTCATGTATAGCTAACCGAATAAGCTGTGAGTCTCGTTAAGCTCATTAAGCTGATAACAAACAGGCCCATATAGTCCTACGCAAACCAGAACAACGACTTTGGGAAGCAAATTCGCTAAATTGAAATAGAAGTATCATACGACTGGTTTGCATATTGGACAAGAAGAACATACCGGAAGAGAGGACCATGACCATATCACTGTCTATGACGGTTGGAATTCGATGAGCTACTGTTACAACCGTGCAGCTTGAGAACTCTTGCCTTATAATCCTTTGTAGAGTGGCATCTGTGTATGAATCAATGGATGCAGTTGCTTCATCAAGAACTAGGATCTTGTTTCGTCTGAGCAACACTCTTCCGAGACAAAAAAGTTGTCGTTCACCCATACTCCAATTTTCCCCTTCGTCACTCACTGTTGTAAAAGAGAGAACAGAAAGATCTCAAGGCTAAACTTGGAAGTAGTATCTACATTTTAATGTGTTTGTAGTTTGATTAGGGTGCGTTTGATATACAGGACATGATAGGACAGAACAGAACAGGGATCACTGTTCCATGTTTGACAGGATTTTTATATAGAACAAATAGGAACAACTTGGAATAAAGTGAATAGACGTGTTCCACCCCCACCCCCACCCCCACCCGTTGGAATAGGATGGAACAGACCTGTATTTTACCGATATAACCTCAAAATAAAACTTAATTATCTTCAAAAACATCAAATACGCCTCTCTTTACTTTTTATTCATTCTTTAAATTTTGTTTATCGTATTTTATGTTTTTTATACTTCCACTAAATTGTCCTCAAAATATTATTTTTATATGCTTTCTATATTTTGGTTAGTTTGTGTAATCTGTTAAATATTACTAATAATAAAATAATATGGAAAATATATAAAATAAAATTTGGAAACCACATAAACTTTTTATTTTGGTGCCATTATTAATCGTTTTGACGAAAACTTTCTAAAGATATATTTTATTATAAAAATATTTGTTTTATTATAATTTAATAAATTAACCAAAATATATAAAAGATATAAACAATCATTAGAGATAAATTGGTCATTTTATCTGTTATATCATGTCCAGTTATATCTTACCAAACGCAGAACAACTGTTTTGTCATGTTCTATCCTTTCTGGATACCAAACGAACCATTAAGGAGTCTCAGAAATTCTTCATTAGAATTTAGCTACAGATTTTGTAATATTAGCCTCACCAGGAAAATCTAAACAGTTTGGAAGACTGTTAATGGTACCCTTTAGCTGGCATTTCTCTAATGCCTGCAAGAATCAGACAACTTTAAGGATTTATAGAGCAATACATACTCTCTAGCAAAATGAAGATGCACAGAAAATTTTACTATCATAGGGATTAAGATCATTTATGAACAAATATAGGGCTTAATTGTTGGGGTGGAGAGTAAGGGGCAGTTTGGTTGGTTTTCCATTAAGTCCTATAGGATAAAGCCAAGGACGGACCCATAATCTTTTTCAAAAGGTGGCACAATTTGACTATAAGAAACAAATATATGGATATTTTTCACAAAATCATCATTGGTCTTTTGGTTAGTTCATTGATTTTCATATGTGAGATCATGTGTTCAAGTCTCTTATTGCAATTTTTTCCGGAAACATAATAAATTTGAAATAAAAGCTAAAAAAATAACACTAAAGGGATTCGAACTCAGGTCTGGGGTGAAAAAAATGCCTTGCAAACCAACTCTACCAAGGGAAATTTGTGCCCTTATTATAGTTTCAACATATATATATAGTGACACACAACAAAATACTACGGTGGCACTTTTCACGACCCTAAATTTTTTTACACTACGACGAACAATACTGTGGCACGGCCACCGTATGCTCTACATTGGGTCCGTCCATGGATAAAGTTGTCATTGTGGATTAATCTGTGTGTATTGATTGGGAAGGTTTTTGTTTGGGAGAGCTTTTTCATAGATTGAATAAGCATGTTTTTGATTGGGAATGACGGTTTGGAGAAAAACTTCGGCTTTTTTCATAAAGCTCCTCTCTATAATCTTATTGAATAAGTCACTTTCTATATTATTAAGCCACTACCAAACAGTCACGTATAGCTGACCGAATAAGCTGTGAGTCTCATTAAGCTCTATAAGATGCTAACAAACAAGCGCTAATTATTACTAAATTTGTCATACCTTCCATATTTCATGATCAGAGTGAAGTCCTAGAGGATCCAAGTTTGTTCGTATGCTACCCTTAAAAAGGGTTGGCTCTTGAGGGATGACACTTAGCTTCATCCGGAGGTCCTTCAGGCCTATGGAGCAGATGTCCAGACCATCTATAAGAATTCTTCCACTATTAGGTTCTACAAGACGGAAAAGGGCAGTTATAAGCGTTGTTTTGCCACTTCCTGTCCTTCCAACAATGCCCACTCGAGTCCCTTCTTTGAATGTGCAAGTGATTCCCTTGAGAACTAGTGGAGCATTCGGACGGTACCTAATCTGTAATATAGAGAAGATTGTTTGTTAACAAATATGGGGCATTTCTATTAAACATCTTGTTCCTTTTGGGTGCGTTTGGTACGCTAGATAAGACATAACAGAACAGAACATGGATCATTGTTCCACGTTTGGTAGGACTTTTATGTGAAATAGATTGGAATAGGCTTGTTCCACCCCCACCCTATGGAACAAAGTGGAACAGACCTATATTACCAATATAACCTCAAAATAAAACCTAAATTCTTTTCTAAAACATCAAATACGGCCCCGGCCCCTTTACATTATTCATTCTTTAAATTTTATTTTATTTTGTATTCTATACTCTTTAAACTATCATTTTACAGTTCTCAGAATATTATTTTTATATTATATATTTTGAATGATTTACGTAATTTATTAAATATTAATAATAAAAAATAATATAGAAAAAGTATAAAATAAAAATTGGAAACTATATGAACCTTTTATTTTGGTGTCATTTTAATTGTGTTGATGAAAACTTTGTAATGATATATTTTATCGTAAAAAATATTTATTTTATTATAACTTAGTAAACTACTTAAATTAATCAAAATATATAAACAATTCATTGGGTATAAATTGGACATTTTATCTGTTCTGTCATGTCCAGTTTTGTCTTACCAAACGCTGAACAATTGTTTTGTCCTATTCTGTCCGGATACCAAATGCACCCTTTGTGCAAGTGAGCTGAAATAGTAGGCTCACCTTGACATTGTGGAGCTCAATTCTACCCTTTGAAGGCCAAGAAGAAGGAGGCATGTTGTTCTCCACAACTGCTGGAGGCTCGGGTGGAATGTACATATATTGTTTGATCCGTTCTATTGAAATGATGCCATTGGCTAGGCTACAAGACCATCGTGTCAAGAACACATGGGCGCCTGTCAACGCCAGGGCATATGAAAGGGAAAGCCCAACTATCCCTGCAGAAGTATCAATATTGATCAGTTAACTTTACGTTTGAAACTCTGGGAGTCCCACATCGGCCACACCTAGATCAATTTTCTCTTGTATATATGTTGGAACCACCCCTTTCTCCTCAAGGGCTCTTTTGGAGAGTGATCTGGGGGTTCCACATATTCTAACATGGTATCAGAGCCAAAGTCTGCCACTCTAGGGACTTGACACTCAGGCTAACCCCCTCTCAACATCCTAGGAAAATTTGTGTCCATCTAACCTCGTTTGGAGGGGGGCATGTCAGAGTCTCACATTGGCTAGACCTGGACCATTTCTCCTGTATATGTGTTGGAGCCTCCTTGTTCTCCTCAACGGCTCTCTTGGAGAGTGATCTAGGAGTTCCACATATTCTAACAGAAACCTATGACAAAACTCATGTAGGAAACGAGAACATGCATACCTGGAGGAATATAACCCTTTGGAACTAAAACCAGGAAAAAAGCAGCGGTAAATAGTGTCAGGTTTTGAAGTGCTTCTGCTCTCAAAACCAGCCACTCCAAGGTTGCGTTTGTAAAAATGAACGTACTTGCATCAACATCTACTAGCTTTAGGTAATTCTTGAAGAACTTGTCCTCCATTTTAAACGCTCTTATTGTAGTCACTCCAAGTGATGTTTCAGATGCATAATTTGCCACGGGTGCTTTTGTTATTCCATTGATTCTGATAAGTTCCTTTGCGGATGGTTGATAATACCCCTGTGCATGCAGCAAGAGGGTCAAATATATATATATGTGTGTGTGTGTATTGGAAGGGTGTCCTAGGCTATGCTTGGACTAACCGCGGCAAATTGTGACCGCAAGAAATCAGCCCTGATAAACTCAGTGGCCACAATTGTTGTGTAGGCCTGGAATCGAACCTGGGCAGATGGGATTTTCCACCGACCTCAACCACTACGCCATAAACCCTTGCGGGTCAGAGGGTCAAATATTAATGTGTATTTTGTTTTTCCTTTTGGTGTAGAGCAAAAGTATAGAGCTAAATTCACCTGGAAATATTTTGTAGCTATTGTAGCGAAGATGCCAACAATGAGGACTTGCCATGTTACTGATGCCATAACGGCGAGTATTGTGAGCAATTCGATACCAGAAGTCACCACAAAAGCAAACGAGAGGGGTATGTCAAAATCCAATACACTCAAATCTGTTGAAGCCTGCAGAGAGTACGTTTAGATATTGTAACAACTCGTCCCACATGGATAGAAAATGGGTTTTGTGAGTTCCTTATAAGCCTCAAGTTGTGAGCTACCAATAACTTCCACCATAAGTTGGATCCGAAGTTATTGGGCCAGTTTTTTGCTTTGGGCCTGGGGGTGTTACAAATGATGGGATTTGTGGCTTCCTCAAAAGTTATATGATCGTCTCTTTGTTGCTGTTTGGGCAATGCTAAAGAAAAAGAACTTACTCGTGTTAGAATCCGGCCAACAGGTGTAGAGTCGAAGAATAGCATAGGTGCACTGAAAATTGACTTGGTGAACTTTGAGAAGAAGGCTTCAGATGCTTTTAATCCCAGAAGGGTGGTGGATAAAGATCTCATTAAAACAAAAAAGACACTTGTGGTTGAAATCAATGTGTAAACACCAATTAACATGACATTACTGATTGTAGGAATCTTAACAGCAAAAGCTAGCCAATAACTGGCTGCAGCCTGAAGAGCAGAAAAACCAATCTGAGTTAGCAGACTCAAGAAGAAGAAGCGTCTACCTTCCGAGATAACAATATAATCTGAAAAAGGCTTCCACCCAACATCACCAATTGGCTTCTCTTCTTCCTCAGTCAACTGTACAGTTGACTTAGATATTTCCTCACTAATTTCATTCCTGAAGTTCAAACTATTTGTTTCTTTTACATTGCGTTTATTTTCATAAGATGAAGACTCCAAATCTGTCATCACATTTTTGTGAGCATTCACAAGTTGCTCAAAACCTGTGTCTGCCATTATGAGGTCCTTGTATATTCCTGATTGAGTAATGTGTCCATCTTCCATCACCTTTAATCAATAACAGTAAAAAGATAAGACAACAATTAAACTATTCTAGAATCTCATGATTAAAAATGTTCTAAAAAGAACTTTGATTACCCTCTCGTTACCAGAATATTGTCAACCTTTGAGAGAAACTCCACTTGATGAGTGACAAGAATGATTGTCTTCATCCTTAAAGCAGTCATAACACAATCCTGAAGCCAAATAATTCACATGTAATGACCAAAAAGAGAAACCAAATGCAAACTAATCACAATGAGAAAATCTAACATTAAAGAGAGTTGCTGCTGTGTGTGCATCTACGGCACTGAAAGGGTCATCAAGAAGATATATATCCGCATTGTTGTAGACTGCCCGGGCAAGTTGAATCCTCTGCTTCTGACCACCGCTCATATTGAGTCCCCTTTGGCCTATTTCTGTTAGATCACCATGGTTAAAATCATTGAGATCCATGTCCAGAGCACAAGATTTTATGGCATTTGCATATCTGATTGGGTCCATTGGCTTTCCATAGAGTATGTTATCCCGAACTGTCCCACTTTGAATCCAGGAAGCTTGACTAACATAAGCAATTGATCCAAAAACGTCCACCTGATGCAAGCAATAGCAGTAAGCTTTAGAAATTTACATACAATTGCCAAATTAGAAAAAATGTTGTGGACTCACAGTTCCTGAAGTGCTGGTTATTTCTTGGAGTATGGCATGCAATAGTGACGATTTTCCAGCACCAACTGGTCCACAAACCACGACTTTCTGTCCTTTAATAAGTTCGATATTTATGTTTCTAAGAGTCAAAAAGGGTGATTCTGGATCCCAACTGAAATTGCCATGCTGTATTCTGACACAGATACCTGAATGTTTTTGTTCTTGATTTTCCCTCACCCCCTTATTTTTAAGTTCATTCTCAACCAGAAATGAATTGATCCTGTCAAAGGAGACTTTGGTCTGGATTAACATTGAAAGAGCCTGCGGAAAGTATTTGACTGGCTCGGACATTGTTCGTAAGGTTGCCAAAATGGTGAAAATAGTTGCAGCATTTAAAGGAGCACTGTTGAAAAATGCACACCCGAAAAGGATGACTGAAGAAATGATAGTCGGTGACATCCAATACAAAACCGAGCCGTAAGCCTTTTTATACTGAGATTCACGCAGCCATTTGAATTCGTTTTCTCTACAAGACTCGACGAAATCCTTGAACTTCTCTTCCCATGACAGTAATTTGATGATCTTCATATTGTTTAGGATCTCAGAAGTTGACCTCAGTCTCTTGTCTTGGGCGCTCATAAATTCTAATTGACATTTCTGAAGCATTATTGCAAATGGCACATTGAGAAGCCCACACAAAAGGAGAGGGACTAACCCGGGGAGAACACCAACTCCTACTATAAAGAACAAAACAGCAATGGCTAGAAAGAGTTGAAGGAAAGAAGTCCAAGCCACATGAACCCACATAGGGAATTCACCCATTCTGTAAGCATCAATAGCGATGTAGTTTACAATCTCCCCTGTGGAATGTCTTCTTCTCCCTAAACTAGAAAGCTTGAGTTGTTTCTTGTATACTGCCACCATTAAAGCCGATCTCATCCGCATACCCGTTCTTTTTGCATTAAAGAAAAAATGTCTTTGAGATAAAGATTCAAACACCTTGACTGCAATCAAGCATCCTACTAATAGGAGTCCGTATGGTACATTTTCTATATCACGATTGGAGTAATTAACAAATGCATAGAGTAACAATGGACCAACTATGACGGCAATAGTCCTAACCGAGGCATAAATTCCTACCAATACCATTTCTTTACAATAGACACTTTTTAAAGCCCTGCCAACCAGGTTAGCATCGTTTGCGGTCTTCTCCCTTTGAAGTGAGTCCCATGCCATTATGAATTTGTGATAGGCAACATTAGCTTTGTCTTTAGGTTCTAGAGAGGGAATGTCTTCAAGAGATAATGGTTTTGTATAACCTAAGGAAATTAAAGGGTTTACCCAAGAAAATACCAATTTGCTGAAAAATTTAGGCTCTTTAATTTGGCTTTTGTCCCCTTTCTGGGTTCCTTTGGCCAACAAAGGATCTAATAAGATCTCTGGTGCCTGTTGACCGACAAATCCTTTGCCATTTCTTAGAGCACATAAGAAGAGCAAGAAACTAACAATCCATTCGACAAATTCCAAGAATAAGATGTGTTTCTCTACCAAAATTTCAATTTCTATCGTGGATATGAACAAAAATAGTAACATCCACCAAACAGAAACTAAAAGATTGACAGCTTTTGATCTTTCTATGAGCACTGAAATTGTCAAAGATAGCCATATAACTGCTCTACCAATGTTCATCACCCAATTCGAACAATCAAAGTTTCTGGTTCTCGTTATCACTTCCCAAAGACATTCGACGATATAGGCACCGCCAGTGAGAAAACAACAGATTGCAACTAACACATAAAACCAGCCGATTCTCCTGTACCTATTCTCACTTATGCCATATCTCTTGAGGTAAACAACTAATAAGAACAGATAGAAGACAATAACAAACAGTAAATTCAACAAATCTAAGATGCTCCTTTGAGTGTGTGGTGAAACTAGCTCACATTCATCCTCACAAATGCATCCTCCTGCAAATATACCACTATATAGAAACATTTAGTGTACATATATATATATATATATATATATATATATATAGCTTCAAATTGTGCCAGTGAAAACCTCTAACGAAGGAAAATGATGGACAAACGCGCAACTCTCGAAAAACTAAATAACGTTAGCATCAACTTGATGTAGCAGACAATAAATACACATGAAACATTAACAATTACCGAGTAAACTCCTCGGAGACGCCATTGATGTTAAAGAACCACTGTGTGTGATCAAATTAGAACGATCGTCTCCATTATTGACCACCATCTACAGCTCGGCGTGTTTAATATGGTTCAGTATACGTGTGGGTACTTATAGGCATCTATATCTTCTCCACCTCCATCATATTAGGTGGCAATTTTACATATCGAATTGGCAGTGAATTAAATTCGTATCAAACTATCATTTATTCTGGATAGCATATTTTTAAAATTTTTGTTTTGGTATCTAAGATGTAAAGTTTTAAACATTTAAGTACCCGATTATCAACTATTTCTTCTAATAAACCACAATACATAAAAACTAATTTTAGATTAAGATATCCATGTGAGGAAATAATACTGTTAATCGGAAATCATACTGGAGATGAGGATACCCCTAAAACCCGAACCCGATTATTTATTAGCAAGTTTTAATGTATAGGATATAAGTTTATTTGTTTATGTATAAAATTATAAGAATTATGTAAACAAGGAAAAATCTCTGATTCCCTGATAGGGATCCTCGACCTCCGATAAGGACGGGGACGAGGAAGAAAACTTGTTCCCGACGAGAATGGGTATCGGGAATGGGGATCGGGATTGTAGTATCCCCATTATTCCCGACCCCGTTACCATCTCTGTTTGGTCCCCGAGGTCTAGCGAAACACATGTATGTGTTTTCAAATTAGGATAACCATAATAAATGCTTCTCACCAACCAACCTCTATTATTGTGATATCGATACATGTGATCATCTTAGTTTACGTTATTTATGGAAAACATCGTTCCCATTTAAAATGTTTAAAATTTCATCTTTACGAGAAAACGTGCATGTCCAAGCCGGTAGAGCGTCCCTCCTATGATCGAATCCCGAGATTAATACCCAATTTAGCTTCTCAAGAGGGCTTCTTGAACAGAATAATTGTCGTCTACGTTTGATATAAAATGTTCTCAGAGTCGATGATTAACAGGTCGAGTTTAATTGCTTATACAATGAGATTTTTTATCGGTCTAGTTATGATATATACAGTTCCGTTACCTGAACTCTTGAATTTTTCTTAATCTAGACTCAAATTTGTATCGAGAATACTTATTCAACCATTAAATCGAGTTTGAATTTAATCTAACATGTATTCCCAGTCAAATCGTAACTCAACCCGTGTTCTAATCCGACTATGAAATTTCTAAGAAACAAAATAACTAATAATACAAAAACTAACTGTAAAAATTACAATTTTATTAAATATGACATACAAACGGTTTTTTACTACACTTAGACCAAACACTTATCCGATAAGTGTTTAGCAGTAAATTTCAACACTATCACTAGCTTACTGGGTAAGATTTTAATCACAGAATTGTATGCAACAACTTACCCGGTAAATGCTAACGGTGGTAAGAGTCGTCGTTCTCACTTACTGGGTAAGACTCTAGATTCTTTGTCTCACTCTTACTAGGTAAGATTCTTGGTCTTTGCCATATGCATCTGGTAAGGTAATATGACTTAATAAACGCTTACGTGGGTAGGCGTTTGGTAAATGACCCCTTAAATTGTTTTTATTTTTATTTTTTCTATACCAGTTTTCTTAATTAAAAAGGTGAAAATAATATAAACATTAAGTTTATGTAGCAGACAATAAATGCACATGAAACATTAACAATTACCGAGTAAACTCCTCAGAGACGCCATTGATGTTGAAGAACCACTGTATGTAATCAAAGTAGAACGATCGTCTCCATTTTTTTTTAGCACCAGCTGCAGCTCGACGTGTACAATATGGTTTAGTATATGTGTGGGTACTTATAGGCATCTGTATCTTCCCCATCTCCATCTTATTTGGTGGCAATTTTGTACATAGAATTAAATTCGTTTTGGATAACGTAATTTTAAAACTTTCATTTTAGTATGTAAGATGTAAAGTTTTAAACATTTAAGTATCCAAGTATCAGCTCTTTCTTCTAATAAACCACAATACATAAAAACTAATTTTAGATGAAAATATCCATGTCAGCAAATAATACTGAGTTGGATACCACATCACTCATCACATTAGCATGGTAGCTGGTTAATGCTTCAACCGTTACCTTGGTTCTTAAATGTTTTAAACTTTACATCTTATGCAACAAAATGAGAGTTTTGAAAGTACGTAACCTGAAATAGAAATCAAGTTAAAGTACGTTACTTTTTCATGCAATTTGCCCGAATAATAAACATCGTAACTTTATCTATTTTGTTTGAACAATTGAATATTTGTAAGTCTGTGGTTCTTTATAATTAGAAATCCACATATATATATATATATATATATATATATATATATATATATATATTATATGTTTTACTTAGAAACTCAAAATGTCATTCAAAATTTTAACAAAACAGATATGAAACTTAAAGTTGGTACAACTAGTATCAATATGTACCAAACGAAAAAAGTTGATAACAAGTACTTATGGTTAGTACACTGTATAAAATTTTGTGTACCAATTATAATTGGTTGATACACGATACTAAGGAAAAAGACTTGTACCGCAACAAGTCCATCCCTATGGGTTAGTACACTGTATAATTAAGCGATCAGAACAATTAAGAGGCTTTCATGCTATAGTACAAAATGAAATATAATTGTTTGGTAATTGTTTACAATAAAATTAGGGCGTTGAATAGTTAAGGGAGGCCCATGATGCAAAATCATTCAGAGAATTTTAGAACCATTAAAAAACAAATTTTTTTTTTATCAAACAAAATTCACCTCTTAATGATTTAAAGGATGCCTCTTAGTAGAACTATTAAGAGGTAAACAAACAATCCCTAATATTTCATACTGAATTATACAAATGAACCTTTGACAATAGAAAACCTTCAATTTCAGTCCTTTAATCTCTCTAACTCAAAATTTGGAGTAAAATTACTTTCATAGTTTTTTTTTAATTAAAGAATAGTAATTGTAGACATTTTGTTCATATAAATAAATTAAAGGGTCGTTTACCAAACTCTTACCAGCAAAAGTGAAGGGTTTAAACCTCACCAAAGGTGAAAATTGTGTATGAATTTATTTGTTCTATTTGTCGTATATAAATATTATATACTTCAAAAAAAGTGACGACCCTCATTTTACTGGGTAACAATCTCGACCATCAAAATGGGTTGTTTATAAGTGTTTCTTACCTGGTACGTGATAATCGGGTGAGAGTCTTATTTCTCACTTATCAGGTAAGAATCTCAGTTGTTGTCATGTATCTTACCAGGTAAAATTATTGGTCTTTGATGCTCACCCTGTAGGTAAGTGACCTCGTAAACGGTTAATCAGTAAAGATTTGGTAAAAGACCCTAACGTAACTTAAAGTGCATGAACGTGAAGACGTGGATTACACGCAAGGACCAATTTATTCGTTAACAAGTTTACTAACTATGTACTCGGTTTAAAAACATTTTTTTAAAAGCGTTTGTGTTTGCGTTTGCGTGTCAAAAAATAGATTTCTTAATTAACTCGATAAGGATAAGAATGGATATTTGTTAGTCGTTGAGGGACCATTATTGTAATTTTCTTAAACAGAGATACTCGGCCAAACTCGAGTGGCGACCCAACACCAAAAGATTGAACACGTTGTGAAATCGTCGTCCACATTTTATTTGAGTAAACTCTAATATTGGTCTAGGGGTGATAAAAAGTCTCATATCTGATGGAAACCTGATACCGGAACCCGATTTGATCGAAGAATCATCGGGTTCATCGAGGATGGGGATTCCTTGAATCTGTTAATCGGGAATCAGACTGGAGATGAAGATACCCCTAAAACCCGAACCCGATTATTTATTATTGAGTTTTAATGTATAGTATATAAATTTATTTGTTTATGTATAAAATTATAATAATTACGTAAACAGGGTAAAATCTCCGATTCCCCGATAGGGATCCCCGACATTCGATAAGGACGGGGACGAGGAAGGAAACTTGTTCCCGACGAGAATGGGTATCGGGAATGGGGATGGGGATTGCAGTATCCCCATTATTCCCGACCCCGTTACCATCTCTGTTTGGTCCCCGAGGTCTAGCGAAACACATGTATGTGTTTTCAAATTAGGATAACCCATAATAAATGCTTCTCACCAACCAACCTCTATTATTGTGATATCGATACATGCGATCATCTTAGTTTACGTTATTTATGAAAAACGTCGTTCCCATTTACAATGTTTAAAATTTCATCTTTACGAGAAAACGTGCATGTCCAAGCCGGTAGAGCGTCCCTCCTATGATCTAAGCCCGAGATTAATACCCAATTTAGCTTCTCGAGAGGGTTTTTTTGAACAGAATAGTTGTCGTCTACACTTGATATTAAATGTTTTTCAGAGTCGATGATTAATAGGTCGAGTTTAATTGCTTATACAACGAGATTTTTGGTCTTAAGTTAATACAACGAGCTTAATTTGATCTTGTTTTATCGGTTAAACAATTTACCCGGTAAGCAATAACGATGGTAAGAGTCGTTGCTCTCACTTACTGGGTAAGATTTTAATCACAGAATTGTATGCAACAATTTACCCGGTAAGCAATAACGGTGGTAATTGTCGTCGCTCTCACTTACTAGGTAAGAATCTCGGTTCTTTGTCTCACTCTTACTAGGTAAGATTTTTGGTCTTTGCCATATGCATCTGGTAAGGTTATATGACTTGGTAAATGCTTATGTGGGTAAGCGTTTGGTAAACGACCCTTTATGTTTTTTATTTTTATTTTTTCTATACTGGTTTTCTTAATTAAAAAAAGTCAAAATAATATAATCTTGTGAGCGGGGATGGACCCAGAATTTTTTTCAAACGTTGGCACCATTTGACTACAAGAAACAAATATAGGGATATTTTTCTCAAAATCATCATTGGATGTTGATTAATTCATTACTTTTCATATGTAAGGTCATGTGTTCAGATCTTTTATTGCATTTTTTATTCCAAAAACATCATAAATCTGAAATTAAAGGTTAAAAACCAAAAAAATGACACTAACAAATTCGAATTTGGGTCTATGGTATAAGAAAAGCCTTGTAAACCAACTTTACCAAAGAAAACTTATGTTCA